GCAGGCATGGATGGGAGATTGGGAATTCCTGGCTGGGCTGGAATTGCCAGAGCAGCTGTGGCTGCCCCTGGATCCCTGGCAGTGCCCAAGGCCAGGTTGGACCCTGAGGCTGGAGCACCTGGGACAGGGGGAGGTGTCCCTGCCATGGCAGGGGTGGCACTGGGTGGGATTTAAGGTCCTTCCAACCCAAACCATAATTCTCTCTAGGGCCACCTGAGGTTCCCTAATTCTGGAACCTCAGGTGGCCCTAGAGCAGGACATGAAGAGAAGGTGTTTGGGCCATCACTGCTGAGGCTCTTCCCAAGGAAATTCCAGTTTATTTTCCTTTGGCACAGGGAACAGAACAAACTTCCCAAACTGGTGAAGACTCACAAGGGATGAAAATTCCTCTCCATGGTGGGGGTTCAGAAAATGCTCCACAAAACACCCTCAAAACACTCTGTAGCACCTCCATCCACATTTGTGACAAAGAGAAAACATGATTCAAGGAAGAATTTGATGATTCAAACATGAGTCAAAAAAGAAAACATGATTCAAGAAAGATTCCTTTGCTCTCCAAAGAGAGATTTTTATATAAATAGAAGCAAAATTCAATTATCTAAAGTGTCAACTGCCACTACTCAAAACAAATATTTGAAATTGATAAAAATTAGTATTTTATACTAAATCAAACCTACACAGCAACTGAATATTTTTTTCCATATTCAGAACTTTTAAGCTTGTTAAAAGTTTAAATTCTTACAATTTCTGGGGCAAGAATTATTTTTAAAGCCTGCTTTCAATTTCCACAGAACAAGTAAAATATTTTAAATATTATTTCATTCTTTGTGTGTATATAGTAGCACATGTCATCCACCCTCCTAAAATTCATTGCATAATTAGAAATTTAAATTTAAGCCAGCGAGTTCTCAGTGGAAAGAACACAAATAAGAAAACTGAAAGAAAACCATCATCAAAACGAGAAATCCATAAACATTTGATAAATTTGGCAGTTGAAAAGAAGCCCCAATAAAAGGAAATTTCTCATACTTGTTGCCACCTGCCCGCCTCACTGCTTTGCATAGCTAGAAAAGAGCAAAACAGAGGCCAACCTATTTAACTAAACAGTTTTTATTAAAGTAAAAGAAAAGCAAGAATCTATAAAGTAGCAAGTGATCCTATTAGTTCCACCAGACTAAAATCATACAGTCCACGTATGTGGTCCTTTCAGCCACATCTGTTATGAGCCATTTTGATACCCAAAAGCAGAGAATATTTGCCCATATTTATTAGGCACTGAGTGCAAATCAGGCTTTTTCTCCTCAATAACTCCTGGTAGAATGGGTAGATTAAAAAAAAGCAGTCAGAACTAAAAAACGTTTGTATTTGCCACAGTTAAGGCCGAGGTACTCATCGTACCCCATGATTTTCTCTTTGAGGAATATGTAAAATCCAATAAAGATGCAGGCTACAAAATTAAAGGCAGCAAACTGATAGCGTAATTCAAAGATGAGGAGTTAAATATCCAACATCCAGAATTGGATCTGATAAGTGGTAAATGTTTGGGATTTGTATTCCCCCATTTTCATCACCTCACATTTAGCGCCTCGGTCCCGAAGTTTCCTTTAAACAAACTCGGCGAATTCTTTGCACAAAACGCCCCATTCTTGACTGCTCTTTCAGCCACAGATTGAAATGCAGATCCCAAAAATACATCAGTCACTTATTTCAACTCTAGACCTTTGAAAATCCAGATCAATTGCCTTTTGTCATCGTCTTTATATGGAGAGTAAGAAATTTCTGCTTAGCACCATGGAAAAGCTCCCGGAGCCCTTTGGAAGGGGCGGCAGCGTCGATAGTTTGAAACATCCCCGTGCTATTCCACGGGAATTTATTGACATTTTGGCAATATTCATCCATACTTTAATCTATATGAGAAAGCACAGGTGCCATATAATTTACAACAGGCACTAAGCAGCTTTCAGGTTCTGAGGTTTGCCCTAAGCTTGGGATTTCGGATTTGAAACTTCTCCCTAAAACCAGCGCCGGGAGCCACGCTCGGCACAAACCCCCAGCTCGCATCCTCTCCGTGCCTCGGTAATGAAGGCTGGGAAAGAAATCACAGACACCCAAGTGGTTTGGCAACTGTAAGTGACAGAAGCTGAGCTAAATCCTCTGTTTACACTGGGGATTATCCGGGTGGATTGTGCGGCGCTCCCGGAGCCGGCGCTGGTCAGGGGACGCTGCTCCCCGTCCGCCCGTGGGGCAGGGCACAAAGCCCCGGCCTGGTAGGAAGTGACCCAGAAGGAGATGGCGAGCAAGGATTTACACAAAGCCAGTCTGCCTCAGAAAAACTCCATATGACCATTAACTGGCCGGCAGGGCCTGCCAGGAGGCCTAATTACAGCCCTACAGAGCCCGCTAACAAAAGCTGGAGAGCTTTAGCCCAGGGATGATCTGCTTTATACTGACTTGAGAGAGTCCATATAGAGCGAGGAAAAGAAAGAGGTTTAGCTTGGAAATTCTCCCAAGAGACAAAGCATTGTCGCTCAGTCTGGAAGGCCCACATGGAACATACTTCAGATGGGCTTAAACATCCCACCCTCTCCAAATTAACATTCAACTATTGCCTGCTTAACATCTGCTCGGGCACGGCGACTTGTGGGAGGTTGTCAGAGGAGCCTAAAAAGGCTCCCTGGCACCTCAGTAATTCAATAAATTCAATTCAATAAATCATGAAAATATGAAGTTATAGCTGGCTAGTTATATATATATATAACTATATATATATAGTTATATATAACTATGTAACTATATATAGATATAACTATATATATAGTTATATTTAACTATATATATAATTATATATATAGTTAAATATAACTATGTAACTATATATAGATATAACTATATATATAGTTATATATAACTATGTAACTATATATATAGTTATATATATATATATATATATATAACTATAGTTATATAGTTATAAAAATTTCTGAGGAATGAAGGGTTTTATAAATCAAAACTCAGTTGTCTCAATAATTAAAGTGTTTGACTATCTCCCAATATAGCCCTGCTTAATGAGAACAAAACACTGACATTAATCTACACTTAAAAAAAAATAAATTTAATGAAGTCAGCACGAATGCAGGACTTGGAGAGAAACTTCCTAATCACTGTACAACCTAAATATAAAAATGGCCATCTTACCCTCCTCCCCCACAGACACAGGTGAGTATTTTTTATTTTACCTGCTCTCCTAATGAGAGACCAGAGCCACAATTCCTATCCCCAAATACACCAGGGGAAAAAAATATCTCAATAGTAAGAGCCTGTTTTACTACTTGCTGATTTCTGCCTTTCAGAGACAGCAGCTGCTATTTTCTAAAAAAAAATCTAGGTTAAATTCTAAAAGCAGGTTTTCTCAAGATCCTAAATATCTCCACAAGGGAAATTTAGACAGGGAAATACAAACAGGGAATTCAAGAGCATCTGTGGTTGCCCCTAGATCCCTGGCAGTGTCCCAGGCCAGGTTGGACACTGGGGCTGGGACAGTGATGTCCCTGCCATGGCAGGGGTGGGATGGATGGGATTTAAAGCCCAAACCATTCCATGATTCCACCATGTCAGCAGGGATGTCCCCAGTGTCCCTACAACCCCTGCAGGTGATTTGGAGCTCCTGCTTTGCCTGTCCAAACCAGGGAGGAGCAGCATCTCTTCAACACCAGATCCACGGACAATCCACTGGGAACACAGCACAGCCTCCCAGTCCTGCTCAGTGGGGTTGGGGCAATCCCTACAACGTGCACAGATATTCCATGAGCTCATTCCCAAGCTTGGGATGGAGCCTGCACAGAGCCCTGTGCACACCAGCAACAGCTCTACTCCCCATTACTGAAGTACAGAATTAATTTCAGTTATATTCAAACAGAACATCACCACAGCAGCAATGAACCTGCTGAGCCCCAGCTCCTCAAAAAGCTGCTAGGTAATGGCTCGGCAGAAATTTATTTTTAAGTTTGAAGACTAAAAGGTGCTGATTTTGCAAGGAGTAAACACACAAAAATATATTGAAACAACATTTACCAACATTTGCAGCCTCTTCTCACAGCAATTAAATAAAAATTAAATTTAATTGACTGAATGCAGGACTTGGGGAAGAAGGTGGGGGATGATCCCATAAATGCCTGCGATGACCAAGACTTGAATAAAGCCAGGAAGGAACTTAATTCTGTATTTTGGATTGTAAGAGACACAAAGATATTAAATCTCTTCTGTTCCTTATGAACAACCTGCAGCTTCAATCTAAGATTCAGCCCTCAGTGGTGGATATTTAAATTTAATAATGTCACAGACCTTTGATAAGCTTTGGAAAATTTTGGAGCCCAGGTCACAATGATATACAACCCTCAGTTATCTTTTGTACATCTCCCAGGTGTGAAATTAAAAAATGAGATGTGATCGATGGCAGCAGAATACACAAATTGTGCTTTTGAGGTCAGGGCTGTCACATCCATTTCATAATTACATGCTTCAAAGATTTATTAAAAGTTCTGGAGAACAAGGAATGTATTGGAAGAAAGACAATGCAAAAGGCTGGATGGATTTTGGAAAAAAGAAATACATCAGCAATGTGAGGAGATTCCTCACAAAAGGGTTTCCAAAAGAGGGGGGGAAAATATATATGTATATACTTGTACTGATTTAAAACAATGCTAAAACATAAAGAAAATTGCAAAAAAAAAAAAAATCAAAATGTTGAGAGCACAGAATAATGTCTCAGTAGCAGCAAGAGCCAGAGGACAAACATGAGGTTTTAGTGTAAAAAAAGGCTTATTTTTATATCCTTAAAGGGCTTTACTAAGTACCAACAATGATGCAAACCAATTTCACTTTAACCTGCAATTTAAGTGAGCTACGGAGAACGGGATCAGCATCTGCCAAACACAAAGGGATAAAATCCCACCTGACAGCCCAAAAATGAAGCAAAGTGTTGAAGATTGTCATTTACTCACCAGCTGCCTCCAGAACCAGCTGCAGCCTGGCTTTGGCCTGTTCAGCAGGAGTCTGCAAGAGAGGATGGATCAGCTCACACCTGGTTGGACACTGGACACTCCATGGGACACTCCATGGGACATTCCCACCCCCAGAGAGCTCCTGCCTCCACACCAGCCACAGAACTCCCAGACTGGAAACACTGAGGGAGGAATTATCAAGGAAATGTTCAGAACTGACCCAAAGCAGCATCCCCACGAGCTGGCACCATGACCAGCCCACGCCCAGCTCCTCTCCCAGCCCTCCAACCCCAAATCCTGCCTGGCTCCTGGGTGACCCTGTTCCACACAAACGCACAGCTCCACAAAACGCCCCAAAACTGGCTTTAACGTGATTAATGCGGCGAGTTTTTCACACTTTGCTCTTATCTGGGGTGATTTTCCCTCTCCTGAAGGTATTGCTGCACATCTGTTGGCTTGAGGAGCACAATGTTGGCTGTGGCCCCACTATGCTAATCACCCCAGTGATGTTGCACTGCGTCCAATGCCTTTGCCATCCCTCTCAATGTGAAGCCACTCAAACGTTGCCACAGCTAAATTGATACACAAACCCTATTTGTCACGGAGTTCAGAAGTTGATTATTTCTGGAAGTGTCAGAGAAGTTTGGGAGGTTTCTGCTCGGCGCTAAAAACAAAACCTGACGGGAATTTTTGGTGGCGTTTTGCAGCTTGGGAAACTCTTCTCAAGAGCCTAAATGGCTGCAAAAGGGAAAATTAAATAGGAAAATTCAGACAAGAGAAGCTGTGGCTGCCCCTGGATCCCTGGCAGTGCCCAAGGTCAGGTTGGATAGGGCGTGGAGCAGCCTGGGACAGTGGAAGGTGTCCCTGCCCACAGCAGGGGATGGGATGGGATTTAAGATCCCTTCCAACCCAAACCATGCCATGATTCCATGATTTTAATTAGGCAGAGCTCTTTGCCATCAATGTCCCAACTGGTGATGCTCTGCATGGCCTCACCACCCTCATCCACACCCATGAGGAGAGGCTGACAATGACAGAACAATTCCCTTTCTACTCCAAGAATTTACAGACTGCTCCTTCCAATAGGAGAGATGCTGCATTAAATGTAATTTAAATGAAGATCCACATTTTGGTTGTATAGAGATCGATTATTTTTAGTTCAGATTTTTGCTGTTTGCATAAATCCAAAATACTGCTCCTTCCAATAGGAGAGATGCTGCATTAAATGTAATTTAAATGAAGATCCACATTTTGGTTGTATAGAGATCGATTTTTAGTTCAGATTTTCGCTGTTTGCATAAATCCAAAACTACTGGGCAGAATTTTTTATTATTATAGCTGCAATATGGATCCTACCATCAGACCTGACCACTAACCCTGGTGGCAGCAAGAAACATTTTAAAATTTATCATAAATTATCTTCTCATTTCTTCTTCTTGCCATGAACTAATCACTGCAATCTGTTCTGGCATCTTCAGTAGGTCACAGGAGAAGAGGAAGGGAAAGATCTGCTTTTTATCCAGAACCAACTTGCCCAGCTTCAGTTTCAGAGAAGCTTTACTTCAGTTTGTGGTTTCTCCATTCCATGACAATTGTAAATCTAAAAAATCCCACCAGCATTAGTTGAGTTTGGCAAAACTTTGCTGGACAAGCAGAGAAGGAAAAGTATTTGGTGTCAAACACCACCTGTGCTCACGTCTGCACGTGAACAGCCCAAGTCTTTGTGCACCTCATGCATCAGGTGGGCTCTGGCATCCCCAAAACACAATTTCCTACTCCTACAGCAGTTATCCACTTCAGATATTTAACCAAAAACCCCTGGATCTCTCAGATCCCTGGATCCCTTCTTGCTGGCCACGCATCTGTTCAGCGCCACTGACTGGAGAAGGATGTTCCACTGGCAGCTTTAGGATATCTGTGTCCAGCACCAGCAGGCCCAAAGAGCTCCATGAAGAGCAAACGCCAAGCAGGCTCCAGAGGAGGAGGAGAGAGCAGCAGCAGCTGCACAGAACTCCCAGCACTAAACACGGAGCTCCACAACTGATCCCGCTGCTCTCAGGAGCTCCAAACACCTTTTCCTGCTCCTCCCATGGAGTTATGGATGTGCCTCCTTGGTGTAAGGGAGGGAAGACTCAAATTCTTATTTTCCTCAGCAGTCTCCCACTGGGAGCAGCCCAGGCAGTTGCTCTGGAGGCATCTTCCCCTTTGCCCTCGCCCCAGGTGTTAATTACTCCACGGGAGAACTCGGCACAGACACCTTTTCATCAATCAATAAGCCCCAGCCAAGGAGTGAAAAGAGGATTCTGAAATAAAGGCGACTGCCTTGGCCCCAGAAAACATCTCTCCAACTGGTGGATGAGGCCAGCACTCGGAGAAGAAAGGACAGAGGGGATTTCAGCTGAAAACCACAATTAGAGCCTCAAACAAGCCGGGAGCAATGTGTGAGAACAAGCAGCTACCCGAGGTCAGTATTGATTCAGGGGACCATTAAGTGAAAAAATTCAGCAAGAGCCTCAGGAAACTTCAAAATGGTGAAACGATTGGTGGAGGAAGCATTACCAAGAGTGATGTTGAGCAAAATAAACCCTTGTACTTTCCTTATGGTCTTCAGCACAACACAGAAGGAAGAGAATTCAAAGAGAGTAAAAGGAAAAATAAAAGTATTTCTAGTGGCAGCTGGTGAAGGAGCCCACTGACTGTAAAAGAAGGAGAGGAATTCCCTAAAATTCCTTAACAAGCACACTGTAAAATGACCCAAGGTCATCCCCAGCAATGAATTTTACACGTGTCCAAAAGTGCCTGGTGAGACACTGGAATCCCAGCTCAGAAAAGTATGGGATTCCATAGGACACCATCAACCAGAAACACCCCTGTGGATTAATAACTGCTTTCAATATTTCAGGCAAAAATTGGATTGGACCATTCAATTTTTAATGGCAGCTGATTTATGAAGACACAGCACAACCCTTAACTTGTATTTCTTTGCAGTTCATCCACTGCATTCCATCACTACTCCTTTCATAAATAGTTATTTTAATAAAATTACACTAAACCAGACTCACAACTTGAAATTTGGTAGGTTTTGTGTAAAAATCCCCACAAAAGCTGCTTGCCACTCACAGCTCCACAAAACAAGTGCTGAGTGTGATGGGCAGGAGAGCCATGGTTGGCTTCCCAAATATTCCATTTCAAGGGAGATTCAGCTTGTCAATTAATTAATAGATTAAAACACTTGAATTCAGCTTTAGAATGTATTTTTTAAAATTATTCCTGCTATTTTGGATGAATGGTACATGTTCTTGACAGAGGAAACAATATTAAAGTCAAAACTTGAGAACACTGAGGAAAAAAAATTGAGAAACATGAAGTTTATAGAGAGAGTCCAAGTTTCTGCTGGAGCCAGCCACTGGGAATTTTGTGGAGCACAGCACGTGGCTCTTGGCAGCCCTGGAAAACTTTTATCCCAGGATTCCAGCAGGTCATGAGGCTGCCAGCAGTTTGAGTTGCAATGCTGCCTTTATGAATTTCTATCATTATGGAATTTCCTATGGAAAATGGCTGAGATGTGCTAAAACTGGACAGGTTCCACTCCTCCTGCTCATCCCTGACACTGCTGGGAAAAAATTTACCTGCAGGACTTTCCTGTCTCAAAACATCTGGATAAAAGCCCAACAAACTTCTGGTGATGGTGATCAATTTTGGGGGTTTTTACACAATTATTTTCTCTCTGTATTTGATAAAGACACATCCAGCCTTCCCCATTCCCAGGAAAACCTGCTACCTGAAACCTTAATTCCATGTTTGGCTTGCAGAGAAATCCCAGTTTGGGGCTGTGGGCAGCAGAAAGAGACCTCAAATGTCAGTGAGGGGAAGAAATCAAACAGAGGGGATACACCTAAAATTATATTTGAATTTATTCTGTAAGTCAGGGGCCTGCCTCCACCTGCAATTTTATCCATCCCACTTCCAGCAAATCCCAACAGGAGAGAGCAACAAAGGAGCCTAAGCCCAGCCAGCTTTTAAACAGATTTTGATCAAATTATGGAAAAGATTGTGGGACAGGTTTATCATAGGAATGCTGCAATCCTTTCCTGCCATTTACTCCTCTTTGGGTGATTAAAAAAACAAAATTAATAAAGAAACTGAAAATACTTATTTGTCTAAGAAGACACTTCAGAGGAGAATAAAAGACTAAAATAAAAATAAAACCAAAGGAGATGGAGAATTTGCAGTTGTAATATTTTCCTTATATAAGTCTTTGAGGGTGTCAATTCCAGACTGACAGAGGAACAGTTTTCACATTAAAAACAAAAATAAAATCCCACAGAAGAATCCCTAATCTGAATTAATAGCACAGAAATATAATAAGCACATCTGGCACTATTTGAATTAAACCCCTGCATTTTCACACATAAATCTGTTGAAAAGATTGGATGGTAAAATTACATTTCTGTCTGAGTTTTTCCTCTGATACAATTAATCAACAACACTACCCAGGACTAGGCTATGGTAAGAGTGTCCTGAGTGGATACAGATTCACCTGCTCCCAAAAAAATCATCTTAAATTTATCAAAGTGAACTGTAAGTGGAGAAAAATCATGCAAAACATGGAATAATGGCAAATTTTGTCCATGGAATTCACAGATGCTCTTGGTATTTCAACAGAAATAAAGAATCCAGCATCAGGGATGGACTAATCAGGAAAGGGAAATCATTAACCAAAACAATGGGCAGAAAAGCTGAAATTTTAATTTATGCAAAGGCCACCGAAAATGTGACCAGTGATGAAGGGAAGAGTCCATCTTAATTAGACACCAACACCACAGTGAAGGGAGAGCCTGGCTATGGAATGTGGCTCCTCCAGCCAGAGCCAGGAAAAAACATTGGAACATTGACAGGAAGGACAGAAAACTTTCCCTAAGTTCTCCTCCTCCAGGATTGCCAATTTACCAAAACTGGGAAGGAGAGAGCCAACAATGACAAGGCCCAATCCTGAAATTCGGAGCCCAGTGAGGAACTGTAAAATCCCAGCTCTGAATGGAATGCCCAAAT